TATTTTTCATTGTGTGTGTGCTTGTCGGGGTTATTTATATTGTATATTTTTCATTGTGTGTGTGCTTGTCGGGGTTATTTATATTGTATATTTTTCATTGTGTGTGTGCTTGTCGGGGTTATTTATATTGTATATTTTTCATTGTGTGTGTGCTTGTCGGGGTTATTTATATTGTATATTTTTCATTGTGTGTGTGCTTGTCGGGGTTATTTATATTGTATATTTTTCATTGTGTGTGTGCTTGTCGGGGTTATTTATATTGTATATTTTTCATTGTGTGTGTGCTTGTCGGGGTTATTTATATTGTATATTTTTCATTGTGTGTGTGCTTGTCGGGGTTATTTATATTGTATATTTTTCATTGTGTGTGTGCTTGTCGGGGTTATTTATATTGTATATTTTTCATTGTGTGTGTGCTTGTCGGGGTTATTTATATTGTATATTTTTCATTGTGTGTGTGCTTGTCGGGGTTATTTATATTGTATATTTTTCATTGTGTGTGTGCTTGTCGGGGTTATTTATATTGTATATTTTTCATTGTGTGTGTGCTTGTCGGGGTTATTTATATTGTATATTTTTCATTGTGTGTGTGCTTGTCGGGGTTATTTATATTGTATATTTTTCATTGTGTGTGTGCTTGTCGGGGTTATTTATATTGTATATTTTTCATTGTGTGTGTGCTTGTCGGGGTTATTTATATTGTATATTTTTCATTGTGTGTGTGCTTGTCGGGGTTATTTATATTGTATATTTTTCATTGTGTGTGTGCTTGTCGGGGTTATTTATATTGTATATTTTTCATTGTGTGTGTGCTTGTCGGGGTTATTTATATTGTATATTTTTCATTGTGTGTGTGCTTGTCGATTTATTTGTCATATTGTATATTTTCTATCGGGTATTTTGTGTGTGCTTGTATATCGAAGCAGTGTGTGGTGTGCGAACTTGTCTTTTTTAATTTTTATTTGTATATAGTATATAATTAGTGTCCATACCAAATAAACTTAGTGCACCGATGACGTGTCGTCTTTTGTTTTTATATCAAGTTCTTATATGTACAAAAATAGAATAGAATTTGTTTTCACACAAAATTTGATACAGATTCTTTGATTCATTTTTTGGAATAGGCAAAAGTCGAAGACGAGCCAAAACACGTGCAAGCAAAGTAACTGTCAAAATTTAACTGAACATTCAACATGGCCGAATTATGTCCTTATAAGTGAGAAACATGCGTACCAACATAACGCCACAAAGAAATCAAAAATCTAATTTACGTAACCCCGCGGAAATTCAAAATTTGCAATACTTTTTGAACAAACTTCGTAAATTTACAAAATATTGTGCACTTATTAGAGAAGTGTGATCGAGTAAGTTTTTGTTTTTAAGAGGGTAATAATGGGATCTGCTAATAATGTTTAAACAATTTAAGTTTAACAATGAAGTGTTCGTTTCTGTTTAACCATTAAGTTACTATTACTATTTGTTAATAAACACACGTTTTGTTAAGTAGAAAAGTAAGGATAGTTCACATATTTTGTTAATGAGATTATGGCTAAAGAGAAGCAATGAATCAACAATCAGTTACTAGGTCTTCAATTGTTTGTGAGATGCTTTTAATTTTACGTTTGATGTTTATTTTCGTCATAGGTGTAATATTGTTTTCTAATGTCGGGCAACTGTACAGTCAAAAAATTAAAAACTATTTGATATATTTTATCATTTATTACTATTATTACTAGGTAATGCTAAGTTATTTCCAATATCACACTGTATGATTATTGAAAATGTATGTAGTTATTCCATACGCTTTAGACATACTTATGAAACAGTGTAAATATGCAAAGTGGAGGACGCAGTTTTCAAAGGGATTTGCAAATGCGGATTATTTTGCATTTGCCAATGGAATTGTAGATCTCCAGTGCAACATTTTTCAATGTACGCTGAGACTAAATTCAACGGTTTTTGCGAGACAAGCAGTTTCCTTTTAAAAGATTAAAATACAAAATTCACAAAAATATTCACTTTTCTATCAGCTGTAATAGTCGTGCGATCATACTAATCTGAACATGCATTTCACACACCTGTTGCAACTACAGATTTATTAAAATTAGTGTTGTTCCAACCCGATCTTGGGCGTGAATTGGTAATCTACAGCGAAATTGCGGTTACAACTAAGGAGGGAGATCGAGGGAGAATAAAGAAGTAAATATACTTCTTTTACTTTCTCTAGCGATGTGCCCCTTCCAATGTCTTGGATTATTATACTCTCGACTGCCATTCATTAAACATACTTTTTTATACAGTATCTGCCAAAAGTTTTGTTCAATCATGAATAGTAGTGCGAGTCGAAAACAAGCGTTAGAGCCGTTAATATGTCTTCAGATATTAATAAACATCTCGTTGATATTTTCAGTAGTAAATGGTACCAATAACAGCACAATTGAGCAATGCAATTGCAGTGGATAAAGTGGTCAATTTTTCTGTGCAGTACTGTACGGATTATACGCTCCTCATCGGTTAAGAGTTTGACCGAGAGTTGTCTCCTTCCTTTTCTGGCCTAGTGCTGTTCTTTTCTACTTTGCGCCGGTCAAACTGAAGATCACATCGCTATAGAATGTAAACAAATACTCTTTCTGTAAATGCTGAAGTGGCCGGAACGGACAGCAAAAGTAACACTACTGTTGAACAGATTTGGAAAATCAGGTTGTTCCGTAAATATGGCTTGCCATTTTTCTGTGCAATATTATTGATGTAAAAGTACTCTGAATTTCGAATAATCGCTTACAAAATTACGATGTTTACTTAAGGCTTTAAATAAAGTATTTTTGCGTACTTTATGTGTCTTGTAAAGTATATAAAACACAGTCGAAATAGAATACAATACATTATAATAAAGTACGGGTGGCAACCCTAGAACTATACCAACAGCTTACTACTACGCTACACACAATAATGTTTAGACACCCATTACGATAGAAAAAAATTGTTCATCAGCTATAGTATGCAGCATTATTTAATGTACATCTCGACGTGTATTTATGGGTGGTTCGTTAATAGCCCTATCCTCCCAACACAAAAATTAATTACGACTTCCGGAATACACACACACACATACGTACGTAAATTACGAAACCTGCTCGAAATTCGAACCCTATACTAATAAACAGACTTCGAGCAAAAGTAATTCTGGGTCGCGCAAACGACTGATTGAAAATTATGGTCCTTTTGGGGAGTTCGCTTTGGATCATTTCAATGATTTGAATCATGACCTGGTTTTTGAATCCCAGTGAATCCTAATATGAGGGTTGGAAAAACTTTGGCGATTGTTGTAGAACAAACAAAATAGCTCAAAACCCCAACGCCAAAACACGACACTGTAGTTGACCGAAGCACTTTTCGGTAACAAGGTTACCTTCTTCAGGGACTGAAGTGAACAGTTCATCAACCTTGTTACCGAAAAGTGCTTTGGTCAACTACAGTGTCGTGTTTTGGCGTTGGGGTTTTGAGCTATTTTGTTTGTTCCCCAGTGAATCCTGTATCTGCGTGGTCTGATTATTAAACATATAGCTGAATCTCCATGTTCTATAGGTTCGAAATCGACTCTGATCTACCGAAATTTCGAAACATATCGTACAATAACGAGCTGAGAATTGATATATATATATATATGCTATTTATTCGGTTCCAATGTGGGGTAGTAATTATGTCACACCCAGCAGATGGGTCTGTTATATTTCGTTTCCTGCTTCGATGGAAACAAAGAGCGCATGAACCATTCGTTGCACTAGTTAGTCGCTTCACACTTCACTTATTATGCGACGACTGAGATCCGCGACCCGTTATTCAAGACTTTAGGAACCGGTTATTTCACTCTTTTTGAGGATCCGAATCAGTGAACAGGACATCACTATAGTCGATAGGTAAATTTGAAGTTGCTAAATTAGATTGTCTGACAGCAGAATTGATTTTGTTCTCAACATTGTAAAACAGTTATTTTTTATCAGATACGATGGCACAAAATTTAAGTACAATACCAGACGTGATTACGATTTAAATCGTTTTATAAATATACACGTGGTGAAATAAAAGAAAATTTCGATTTCGAATTGAGCTATAAATAAAAGTTTCGTGAAAATAAAAATTTTATTTAATAGCATCGGATCGGGTCTACAAAAAAGTCTCGAAGAACAGAGGTCAACTTGTATATTGATTGTATACAGTCAAGCTGTTACAATAAGCAACATGACGAAAATTCAGTTTGCATTATGACATTTTTTAGTAAACAAATGGAATAAGTATCTAAACCGTAAACAAATAAATATGTTTTGATAAATATTTATTTAACTTGACGGTAATAATAGATATCTTCTTTGAAAAAATTGATAGAGCCTGGCCTCTCTTATATAAAAGTTGATTATAATGATATTTGGTAAAAAACATTTTTTGAAAACTTTCACTTAATTTTTATTAATTAATTCTTAATTAATCTTCTTCTGAAGATGGTCTTGTAGGTCGAAACTTAAGAATTTAATAAAAACTAAGTGAATGTTTTCAAAAAGTGTTTTTTTTACCAAATATCTTCTTGGATAGTTGCCTTAATGGATAAAAATACTTATAAATTACTTTAGTCGTTATTTAAGTAATCCTTACGATCCTAACCTTTAGGATATTGCGAAAATTTGATATCTTAACATTTCATTTACGGTTGTTGTATGCAGCTACTATTTATTCATTTTGTCTAATTTTACTTGGCTCTTGAATGTATATGTGCTTCTATATTTACTGATATATTCTTATGAGTTGCATTCAAAATAAACATTTAAAACTTATATTATCTTCCGTAAGTTTTCTAGAGAAGTTTTTACTATTAGAATGACAAATATAGGAATTAACTAATATCCATTTTTACTTTAAAAATAAAGTTGTGCAGGCGATAGCAGTGTTTGTAATTAAAACTCCCTTAATACATAGTTTACATTAAACCGTAGTATTATGAAGTAGGATTATTATTATTACAAATTTACAGAAGAAATTTGTATGCCATTAGTAAAAGATTTTTGTAGAAAACATTAATATAATGTGGATCATTAGTTAATATATCGATTTTATGATTAAATTCTTTGTCGTACGACGTGATCGTATAGAATAAACTGGTCATACATATGACTTTTGATCCTTGTTCTTGTGGTATTGGAGCCAACAATGGCAGTTGGATTGACGTTGATTATTTTTCTGTCAAACCTATTCTGAAACAGCATCCCTTTTTCTGGGTCAATTACCACCTGAAATGTAACAAAATAATTTATTAATGTTGTATTGAATACTAAGTATTTTTTCTAGTAGGCGGTGTTGCAATCCATATTTGAAATTGAAATTTACGGCACTAGACAAAAATAATTAAAAAATATACAGTCATTACGCCCTAGTAGCAGAACAAAAATACAAGATATAAATTTGCTGCGATTTCACAAATTGTGATTTTTCCCTCCAACCGAGTTCTTCATCTGTTTTCAGGGATGAGAACAGACAGAACATACGATGTTCTTGATCTTGTTTACGCTCACGTCTTCGCCCGGAAATTATACAGGGTGTTTTTGAAATAAATAGCAAGCGTTGGAATATGTTAACCAAAAGCAATAAGAAATCGTATGGTAAATAAAGCATCGTGATTAAGGGACAAAAGAATTTGTAAAAAAACCAAAAGTAGTTGCAATCCGAAGCCGACTATGGGTTTGGACTGGTAACTTACAGAGAACTTGCAAAACAGCTAAGCAGCTACATCAACGGAGAATGTAAAGAATGACGGTTGTGTTGTGTACAGTAATTATCAAGACAGCGCAGGGTGTTAATGCTAATGTTTCTTAGAAAGACTGATACAGCATTCAAACTATTGCACAAGTCTAAGAATTGTTTTCCTTTTAGGCTTTTCATTCCGATCCGGAATTTTATTAATGAGTTGGAGCAGGTTTTCTTTTCTGAAAGTTGAAGCAGGCATAAAATTTATTCAGCAAATATTTAATTACGAATGTGCTTTATGAACAGTTCCTATTCTTTCCCAAACGATTTTGAGTATTTACTTGCAGATTCAATCGTTAATTGTTAATAGCTCCGCGTATTGAACAGGCTCTAAAGATAATAAAATTCATGACCGGAAGGATATAAGCAAATGAAAAGAGAATAAAGAACCTCTTTATTGTGTATAAGTAAGTTTTCAATTAGTTGCAAAATACTTCAGTTGATTCTTCTTCATCACTGCCACTCTAAAACTCCAATCGCCTATTCTTCATATTATATTATCTGTAAATACAAATACGAAAAGGCGAAGCAAGCGTTTGATGTTATATATATGTCACCATAAAATTGTAAATACAGTCAGATTACAATCTGTCTCGCCAGATTGTAAACTTTGATAAAATTGTTATCCGTTAACTAGTGTGCCTTCACCTTAAGTTACCATCCTCAGATTAAATTAAAAAATTAAGGAATAATATATACTTAACTCTCGACAGTCAGAATAACAAGTTACAGAATATAGTATAGTCTACACACATGTACACCCTGGACCTTCTACGAATCTAAAATAAGAGAAAGAAAGAGAAATAAATGTACCTACAGGAGTGTTCTCTCTTTTAATTGACCCGTTAGTTGTGATCACGCAGGCACGTCTAGATAAGAAAGTGGAGATTTAATCTCTGATATCACCAAAAATAGAAGACCGATAATAATTTTTTTGACGATTTCTTGAAAGTTGACTCTAGAACATTTTGAGTTCAATTAATATCATTCGAATGGTTGGTCTAAAAAAAATAAAAACGATCTTTTCCTTATGCTCCGCATGTTAAAATGTGATTTTTAATTTTGTTTTGCAGCTTCAAAACAATCGATTTCATTTTAATTATGCTCATTTTTTTTACATTTTACTATCTACTATAAATGAGCAAAATTTAAAAAACACTTTCGAAAAATATTTTATGGACCAACTACCTTAATAGTAAAATAAAATACGGCTTACGTTAGTATAAAAAAATTGGCAGATATAGGGACTGCCGATAGAAGTGAAAACTTAGAACATTTAGTATTAATATTAAAATTTGAAATTTCACAGTGTTTGAATAAAAATTATCAACATCATTCTGTTATCAATTATATGCATGTTTATATGGTTTTTTATTATTCAAATATTTACATAAATTTCAATGTACCTACTTGATTTTTAACAATGTTTGCACCATTGTTATCATTAATTTCAACAATACTTAGACTTTTTGTACTTTCAATTATTTCATTGTGTTCTAAAAAAGATACAATAGGCTTATGGTAACTAAAGTAAGAAATGAAAATGTTTGATTGAAATTCATCTTATTAAGTATATAATATATATAAATATATTTAAGTATCGCCTAAAAACCGCATCGATCGTCGTAGCTATATAGCTACAGATATACTGCTACAAGCATGTCGTGACGCGAACGCACGAGATTTCACCCATACAAAAAGCGTCTAACGCCCACAGCACACGGCCGCTGCGCGTGCGCCAGTCATAAGCATGTCGGTGACGCGAACCTATAACATTTTCCCCTATCAAAAAGTGCCCAACGTCCCTAAAGAAGTTTTCACTTCAAAAACTGATTTGAACCATAACCTTACTTAAGCAGAATTTGATGGACGTTGTTTCAATGAGCGGATCCGTATCCTAAGCTAACATTTATCTAAAGCATTACCTTGAACTGCGGCACTTCACAAAATATGTGAAAATGAACATGTGATATTGATGTTTATATATACAATGAAGCACTCTATGTACTTATTTGTTTGTCAATAACCCGACATTATTATTTCATAATAATTTTGTCATTCGATATCTTAATACTCTATTATTTATTTACACAAAGCAAAAAAAAGTTAGTGTAAATATTGAAATACAGTCGTAACCATCCGATCCGACGGAACTTAAACCTTGACGAAACTCTTGTACAAACTAGAGTGGGTGGATGGGCTTGCGAGTTTCAATAATTTAGCGAGCCGGATCATAGGTTCAATCATAATGGGGAGATTCTTAAAGAGAAACCAGCCTAAGGCAAAACAGAGATCACAAGGATCGGTATGGCACTCTGATGCACAATACTGCGATGTGGAAGGCAACGGGAAACCACCACATTATGATCCCGAGTAACTACAGAAATTAAATGATGGCGACCTCTGGGGTAAAGCACTCCAGACGTAAACTAGTCCCCCATTTGGATGTCCGGGCGGGGACTAACTTGAGGGATGTCATCAATTAATGCAATAGGGTTAGATGCAATATTTCACTAATCGGAGCGTGGAATGTTAGGACAATGAGGCAAGTAGAAAATTGGGTACGGGTTTGAAACACGGACAGTGGGTGCGGCGGAAAAGAAAAGGTTAGAAGCGTTCGAAATGTGGTGTTATAGGCGGATGATGAGGATATCGTGGATAGAAAAGGTTAGAAATGAAGAGGTATTGGAAAGAATAGGAGAA